TTATGAAATCCTGAGGGTATGCGTGTGTATGTGTGTACGTGTATGAGCCACACACTTGACCTCATAGTGTCTTGCTCTCTGGCTCAGCTGCCTGAACCTCTTGGTTGCCACCACCAAATCTTTGCTCTCATCTTCATCATGAGTGGGAAGGTATTTGGACATAGAAATGTTGTCAGGATTCTCTTCACGGCATCTGTCCAGATCGGCTCTCAGCAGCCATGACCTTGTTGTTGTTACAAGATTGGCAGGTCAGGGTGCTTGCCACCTTCGTTTCTGGGTCTAGCCAAAGCCCACAAAATTCACGTGGAGAGAAGTCTTAGCAGCTTTTGTAGTTCATGAGGTTTCACACCTTGCTTTGTTTTTCAAACCTGTTTTATATTGTGGTATCATTTCTTTGAGTCAGCAACAAGGAGAGATGTAAGCATGAACTAAAAGGAGCTGTACTGGAATTTTTCCACTTCCATTAACATGCTGATGCCTGTCTGGCCAGTGCATTCGCTGGCATCTTAATAGTATGTGTGAGAGAGGAAAGGGGTTAGACCAGTCTTGGGTCAAACCACCGCCACCCTCTCCCCTGCTACGTAAAACCCATTGCTGTCAAGTCTTGACTTATGTTACGGAATAAAACTACCTTTTAGAATCTTAACAGAAGCAGGTCACCAGGCCAGGCTCCTCTAGTACCGCTGGATGGGCTTGAACTGCCAACCTTTAGGTTTAATAGGCAATTGCAAAGTGTCTGTGCCTCTCAGGAAACCTCTGAAGGGATAGGAAGGGTTCAGGTCCTGCCTCTATTCCACTAAGAACCAGATCCTGACAGAACAGGGATGCATGGTAGTATCATCGTGGTAGGTGGGGTGGGATCTGGACTTTCTGGGAGTAAGGGTCCTCACGGGGAAGCACATCACACATCTTCACTGTCTGCCCGTTACCCATCCGTTTGACAGTCATGTTCCCAAAGTCGGCAGAGCCCTGTTTTCTCTGACCACACAATGTACCTCCCTCAGGACAACCTTCCAGAAACCTGTTTCAAAGTTACATTTTGAGAGGTGAATTTAAACCTCACAAGTCCCAGTTCCGTCTTGTTTGAGCTGATTTGATACTGGTGGGCACTATGGGGGGAGGTTTGGAAGACAGAGCTGCTCTCATCTCCCTGTGCCTTTTTCTCTTCAGAATTCCAGGAATAGACCTGCATCCACCTTTTTTTATTACTATCCCAGTGGGATGGGGATGTTCTGAGATGACAGCCTCGGGGACTGAGTTGGTGATGCACTGAATATGCCAAAGACTCCAATTAGCAAAGAGCTGACAGATAAATGGATTTTATGTGATGGTTTCATAGGACTCGGAGAAGGCAGTTTTGCAAGCTGCAAAATATCTCCAAAATCTCCACCTCTTTAAGTGCCTTTCCCCTTTCTGTCTCTCTTCTCCGGGAGAGTTCCGGCCACGCTGCCTAGGCCCCCTTCCTGCACTTTCCTCTCCACGCCAGGCATTAGCCATACTGAGACCTCCTCTTACTCCTCCAGATCTTTCCTAGCATGGGATGCATTTCATTTGCCTCTGGGTTTTATTTTACATATAGATCAGCCAGTTCTGTAGCCGATTCCAGGCCTAGAGATTCCTGTGGGATGGAGGAGAGAATGGCATTCTGGGAGGATTCAAAGGTCAGGTTTTGGGGGAGCCTTTCAGGAATGTATCTTCTTTGATGTGTTTGTTCGTGTATAGATTATTTTCAGGAAAAGACCCCTAATCAGTCCATGGACATCAGGGCTCACTGTATGTGACAGCATGATCGAAAGTGTTCTTGGAGGGGTGTGAGTCAAATACACGCTTAGAGTAGAATTGGGTGATGTTTTCTGTTGTGGTTCCTTCCCCTCTCCCCTTAAATTAAATCATCCACACAGCCCTGAGATCCGTATTTGGAGTTAGACTAATGGTTCATGGTTGCACACTGTGCCTTTTCCAGATCCGAACATCTCTGGGCAGAGGAAGAGCATTTCTTCGCTACTCCTTGGTGCACCAGAGGCTGGCAGACACCTTACAGCAGTGCTTCATGAATACCAAAATCACCAGGTGGGTATGTGATGGCAGTGGCGTCTACCAGCACCATCCTGCCATGAACTGAAGGAACTCAAGTCCCTTCCTGAGTAGTAGTACGGGCAGATACAGAAACGTCACCTGTAGGTGCCACAGCTGGCCCTGTGCGCGGTCCTCCTACACCTGCATTGTCACTCTATGCTTTCCCTGACACAGCCGGGGCAGGTAGCTCTGAGTCTGGCAGTTGAGATAAACAAGGCTCAGAGACCAGAGTGCCTTTCTCTGGGCTCCACTGATCTTGCCCTGGAGCTGGAGCTTGGGTACAGGCCTCCCATCTCTGATGCCAGGCAGTTTTCCTTGGTGGGTGAAGTGTCCCTGGTGCCAAGTCTAGTGGACAGACCCCACTGGTCACCCTAAAAGGCTCCTGGATTTCTCCCATGACCGGGCAGCAGAATCACTTGCCTGAATTGAGGCCATTACACTAACTTCTTTGAAGAAGAGCACGTTTATTTGAGAGTTAATAGGCTCCTATAGGGAGAATCAAATTGATGTTTTCTTGTGCCATTAATTTAGTAAAAGTTGGAGTTTTATAAGACAGAGCCATGCTGGATAAAACAGATAAATGCACTCTTTCCTTCTCTTTACAACTTTTGTAATTCACAAATGTTACAGGGTTGGTTTTGTGTTTTGTTTTTTTTCGCCGCAGTGACTGGTACTATGCAAGAAGTCCGTTTCTGAAGCCAAAGCTGAACTCGGAGATTGTGGGCCTGCTCTATGAGCTGACCGAGGTGCAGTTTGACCTGGTGTCGAGGGGCTATGACTTGGATTCTGCATGGCCGACGTTTGCCAGGTACTTTGGAGAATTGCTTCATTTATTTAAATGACAAGAGGGAGAAGGACTTAAGGTTTTTGAAATTCACAATCAGTCTATTCAAAGCAGTTTTACTTATAAAGTAAATGACATTGTGACTTTTATGCCTGTTAGTTTCACAGACAGTTGAACAGTATTTAATAAGGACATCTGGAGGCTCCAGCCTGTGGTAGTTTAAACCAGGTAGCAGGAGGTAGTGAAGATGCATATGCAACACCTGGGGTTTCTTTCCATTCATTCATTTATTCATTCATTCATTTATTTATTTTAAGATGACTTGTTGGTATGGAAGCGGGAACAGGGGAAAACCTGACCTTCTCTTATCTGTGTTCCTACAGTGTTGTTACTGAGTGTTGTTACAGGCTGAGAATGAATACAAGCCACAGCTTATCCTCATGCTGGAAAGGTTTTTCCTTTTTCTTTGTTGAGGTCATTGAGCTGTTGTGCATTCCACATCAAGTAGAATAGCCTTACACCTTCCTGCAAGAGGGAACCACTGAGGAAACGGGCTTGGAAAGGGGAGGAACTTGCCCACAATGCCGCAGCTAGGGCAGCAGGTCGGGCACTGAACTTGGCCAGACTTGAGGCCAGTGTTCTTGGTTTTGTCAAGGTCTCTGTTAATTAGTGCCAAGTCTTAATGTCTTTGTTAGAAACTATTTCATCTCTAGAGAGAGTACCCGCATACCAACCTCTAGGACGGAACTGCTAACATTTTGCCTTGTTTACTACAGATGGATTTTGAAAAAAGTTTTCATTTCAAAATAGCTTCAGAATTATAGAGCATTGCAGAAATACTGCCCATAAAGCCTTCACCCCAATTCCTCAGTCCTTTGTGTTGGCTTCCATAGTCCTTTTCTCATTTGTCTCTGTGTGCAGACATGGGAGTTTCCTTTCCTAAATCCTTTGAGAGTAAGTTGCAGGCTTGATTTTTTTTTTTTTTTTACTTACTGCTCCTGCTCCCTTTTTGTAACATTTTTACTGACTTTTGAGTGGAAGTTCATAGTGTAGTTTAGTTTTCCATTTAACAGTTTATACACATAGTTTGGTAAGAGCAGAACTCTTCCAGCCCCTCCCTGGGATCTCATGTCTTAAGTTCCTGTTCTGTCTTTGTTCTGAGCTTTTTATTTGTGCAAATACCACCCTTTGGGTTTTATTGAGGGTTCTTCCCATTACTAGTGTTACTGTTCAGCTTATAGGCCTGTCTGCTGTTTGCTTGCTTCTGCTTTTTATTCCCTCGTTTCATTGTCTGTTTCCTGAAATCTAGGACCACGTCTCATATAACCTCAGTCCAATTGTGGAAATCAGGAGACTAAGTTTGGTACCTAACCAACAACCCTAATCTAAATATCTCCAGTTATTTCATTAATGTCTGTGATAGAATGAAAAAATGGTTTGTACTCAGGATTCAATCCAGGATCACGCGTTGCTGTAAATTGTTATATCTCTCTGATGTCCTTTAATTTAGAAGTTTCTCAGCCTTTGTCTTTCATGACTTGAACGTTTTTAATAGCCCCAAGCCAGTTATTTTGTAAAATGTTTACTAATTGGAGTGTGTCCTCGTTTCTAGTTTGAGGGTCAATATTTTTGGCAAGATTACCTCAGATATGACCCTCTTTCCTTCTCAGCGGAAGCACTTGGCCTTGACTTGTTTCAACTAGCAAGGTTAACCACAATCACTTGGTTAAAACAGTACTTTCAAGGTTTTTATAAAGCTACTGTTTCATCCTTTTGTAAGTAATGTTTCTCTTCTAGAGAGACCCTCTTAAGATTGTTATTATCCTGTTTGTCTTAAGTCTTTTCCACTGGTTTTAGAATCTGTTGATAATTCTTGAGGCAGTTATTATCATAACAGTGCTCAAACAGTAGTTTTCTACTTGTATTATTCTTTTCACATTATCAATTGACATTCTGGAATATGGAAGTGCATCTGGTTACTTATATACATCCATATAGACCTGTGGCTTGTTATTTCATTCAGTCATTTAGGATCTCTCACTGTCATTACTTATTTTAAAGCCAAAATCAGTGGGATGCCATCAATCTTCAACCTGGTTCCTATGGAATTTAGTGGTTTTGTTCTAGTTGTTTTGAGCACCATCCAATCAAAACCAACTCACAGTTGACTTTCTAGTGGCTTTTTTTCAGAAGCAATAAATTGCGCAGGAGATTACACCCACCTTTCTTCTGTGGAGCGACTGGTGAATTTGAACTGTGCACATCAGGGTTGGGAACACACACCACCGTCCTTCCTCCTTTAGAGGCTCTGTTACTGCTATATGCCATTTCTGGATGTTTTTATTAGATGTTTATATTCATTGATAGCTATACGCATATGGATATATGGATAGTTTTATTTTGCATATGTCCTAAAATTTTATGTATATTGAATTATGAGATAGCTGTCCTTTTTACATCTTGCTTTTCATTGTAACTTTGTTTTAGATCATCAGTGTTTACACCAGACATTTTGTAGACACCAAGCAAAGGGTCAGAAAACTAGGGCCGCAGTCTAACTGCCTAAATAAATAACAACATTTATTTGGAACACAACTTTGCTAATTCATTTACATATCATCTATGACCATTTTCGTTTTGTAGTGGGAGAGTTGAGTAGTTCCAGTAGAGAGAGCCCCGTGGCTAAAATATTTCATATCTGGCTCTTTACAATTAAAGATTGCCAACCCATGTTATAATTGATTGCTTGTTGTACAAGCAAATCGCTAGTTAATCTCTTTCCTTAGTGATCGGGTTCTGTTGGTTTGACTCTTCCTGCTGTACCAGTACTGCAGAGAGCATTATCTTCTGCCGCTTAGTGCGTGATGTGACTGTCTTTAGAGAAGATACTTGAGCAGCGGGATTGCTGGGCTGGAGAAACAACCAGATTTTAAAATTCAATACTATTTTTAATTAAGGAGAAGATTCTGATGAAGTAAGACCGCGTTTGGTTTGAAATGTTCCTGCAAAATGACAGTTATCATGCAAGAAGTTCTTATTCTAGATTAGTACTATAGAATAGAAGCTCTGTAGGAGAGAACTGTTCCACATCTGTGCTGTCCAGTATAGTTACATGAGCTGGAAGCAGGTCTTCTAGCTACATTGTAAATATTTGTGTGATACAAAGCAGTGGCCATGAGCCCTTAGTTACAGTATGATCTTTATAAAATAATTTGACTGCTACTTTTTCCTTACTAGCAAACAGCCCAGTTCAGCTAACATTTAAACCCCAATCTGGGAAGTACACCTTCAGTTAATTGAAGGGGTGATGGTTCACAGTGGAAAGAAAGCCATGGTGAATTTTAGCAGTAGAATCTGCCTGTCACAGGCCCACGTGAGTGTGCTCTTTAATAGGGGTCATTGAATGTTGCTGTCTTACACACTGTCTGGGAAAGCAGTGGCCTCCCCGCCACCACCTGGTTCTCTAGCCACTACCCAAGCCTCCCTGGTGGTGCGTGTGTGCGCCCAGGCCTGGGTGATTTCCTGCTCTGAACGTGGCATGTCTGCTCTGTGGCCCCATAGGAGGACCGTGGCTCCTGGCACCTCTGCTTCCCTGTGGAGAGCCCCCAGTCGAAGCTCCAGTATGAACAGCTTGGTGAGCAACTACCTGCAGGTAATGCCACAGAGGCCAAGATTTCCTCCTTAGATTGCCGACCAGCTTCTCTCCTTTTCCCTAGCAACTCAAGGTGATGTTAGACATTTAACTTGTTTTAAATAGAACAATTGAAGCCCTAGGTTATCCCCATAATTTCCTGGAGCCTTTATTTTTACTACCAAAGATTTAGGCCCTTTTAAAACTAAATTCTTCTAAAAGCATTTAAAAGAAGCAGTTTCAACTCTGTGATTCAAAACCACGGAGTCACATCCTGACTTTGTCACCTACAAGTTGTATGGCCCAGGGCAGGTGACTTAACCTCATGAGTTTCAGCTCATCATCTGTAAAGTGCTGTCTCTGGAGGTGCCCGGGGGTGGGGGGGTGGGATGGAATGACGGTGAGCACGCACAGTGCTGAAGGACTTGGCTTGGGCAGTTAGTTTGGTTAATTTTGTTAGAAATGTGACCAGATCATGGTAGCTATTTATAGTCTTGTGCGAAAGACTACTATTAATCAGCAATAAAAGTGTTCTTAAGAAGCATTAGAACACAACACTTGGTGTCAGTACACCTGGAGCAGCAAAGAAAGGAGAGTCAGGTAGAAGAGGAAACTGTGGAGAGTGTAGGAGCTCTGGTGGCACCGTGCATAGAGAGGTTGCACTGTAACCCAAAGGCCAGGCTTCTCTGGGTTTTTACATCCACCAGTGGCTCGGCAGGAGAAAAAAAAAATGGCCAGTCTCCTCCTGTTTGGTTGACAGCATTGGAAAACTAATGGAGGCTCAGCTGTGAGCGGGCTCAGACTCAAGGCAGTGAGAGAGCCAGTTCATGGGGACAAGGTGGCTAACTGGCCTCCATGGCCCGAGACCAGAAGAACTAGGCTGGTGCCAAGACACTACTACTCCTGAACATTTTGACCCATCCAAGAATTCTGATCAAAGAGCCAAGCAAGGCAGAATTTCAAATTCTTGTCAACTCTAGACTTTGCTTGAGCTGGTGGAGGATAGATGAACCGCTGAAACGATGGTCCTAAGATAATCTTGAAATCTTAAACAAACAATACCCCAAAGTCATCCTAAAATCAAATGGTCGTTTAGCATAACTAGTTCAGAAGGTTTGTTTTGTGCATTTGAGCATGACGGGTTGTTTGTTTTTAATAACTGTGGGATCAGATTGACAATAACAATTTAAGAGATCAGATAGGGAACTTGGGGCCAGTGAGTTTATGTTAATAGGGCGGAGCGGCTCTGAAAAAGGTGAGAGTTGTTGTATAATTCTGGATAATGAAATCGGTGTCACGAAATTGGCCATGTAGAAACTTGAATTGGTCTACAGTTCTCAAAAATTGGTGCCATATTCTCAAAAATAATAGGAAAAGGGGGAGGACTGGGCAGGGAGAAAAGTGCAACAATGAATGAATGGAAATCCAAAATCTCTGTAAAATGTTCATTAAAATTAATAAAATAAAATTTAAAAAAAAATAGAAGGAAAAAATAATAGGGAAGAAAAGTGCAGGGTGGAGTAGAGGAATGCTAGTGCCTTAAGAATAAAAAAGATTAATCTTTCACCCTTTTATAGCTTAATCATGACAGGAGTTGTAGATCTGGTACATGCAATGTTGTTGTTGTTAGGTGCCGTCTAGAAGCATGACTCATAGTGACCCTGTGAACAAAAGATCTGAACCCTGTACTATAACTAGCATCATTTCTCTATGTTCATAGAATTTCCAGAAGCATGTGATTTAGGAAATAGATGCCACTCCTGCTTCCAAACCCGCATCAATCCAGGAGCTCCACTAAACACTGTACACAATGGGTAACCATTATGGCATTTGACACAGCAGTAGCACAGTGTTCAGCATCAACAGCAACCCCATATTACCTCAGTACAGCAAATTGACAGACCAGTGCTGTATCACTTAAAAGAATGTTCATCTCAGGCCCACCCACCAGATCCTGGTTGACTCTAAACCAAGAGGCTTCCAGCCCACAGCTCATTGATAGATAAATCCAGCAAATCCCATCAGCTCACACCTGACTGTGAATAAAAAAAAAAAACCCCAACCAAACTGTCCACATCTGACCCTCCCCAAAACGAGAGCACCCACCTTCCAGATTCCAACTGCTTCACACATGACCCTCCAAACTGGTACATGCTATAGATAAATGCTAATTTTACATATAACTTAGTTTCTCTCAGAACCAACACTCATTCTTGGCAGAGTTCAGATCTGTTCTTCGTAGGGTTGCAGTGAGTCATAGTTGACTGGATAACACCTAACAACAGCAACAGAGGAGGCTGGAACAGAGCTGCAAGTGTGTCTCCTTGGACCACACAAATGTGGCACCCGGCTTTTGGAGAGCACTGGTGACTGTCTTTATGGCGGGTGCCTTGGACAAAGTTCCTTTGAATTAACAGCACGTCAGACTAACCTCAGGTCACAAAATTCCTGTATTTTGGATTCTGCTGTTTGAGGCTTTTCCAGATAGCTGTTGTGTTTCATCCTCAAACCGCTCAGTTTTTGTGTGTGTTTTCCTCCCTAGACTCAGGAGATGGCCTCCACCACAGATCTGAACAGCTCCGTAAGCAGCGAAAACCTGGAGGGGATAGAGGAGATGCGGCTAGAACTGGACCAGTTGGAGTTGCTGGAGAGGCAGCTGCAGGCGCGGATCAAGCAGCTCAACAAGGAGAACCATGACCTCAAGGTCACCATCTGCTCTCAGGGAGAGCAGCTGCAGATGGAGAGGGAGCGGAGGTGCGCCACCGCCGAGGAGAACGCCCGCCTCAAGGGCCTGGTGACTGAGCTCCAGAAGCAGTGCGAGGCCACCCAAGCCGCGGAGAGCACCATGCAGAAGCTTCTCAAGTGCCTGCAGGCCCTGGAGCTGGGCGCAGCAGAGAAGGAGGATTACCAGTCCGCCGTGCAGCGGCTCGAGTCCGTGCTGCAGCCGCTCAAACAGGAGCTCAAAGCCACACGGGACTCCCTGGCTGAGAAGACCCAACAGCTGGCCAGCGTCTCGGACTGGCTCACCAGAGCCGTGCCCAAGTCCGACGCCACCAAGGGCGTGATGGAACAGGAGGCGTCCCTGCCCCCTGACTCAGCCACGGTGATCAAGGAGCTGGGGGAGAAGCTTCAAGCCCTGGAGGCGGAGAGCACCAAGGTCCAGGAGCTCAATAGGATGCAGACTGCCCAGCTGGAGCAACTGACCAAATTGCTGCAGCTCAAAGAGGAAGCCCAGGCTGGCCTTGAACTCTTGGCGAAGGAGAGCGTCCCACTCCGCGAAGAGCTGGTGAGGAAGGGGGAGACAATCGCCCAGCTCCGGCGCCATCTGCAGGAAGCGCTGGCTCACCTGAGCACCTTGGAGGAAGACCTGGCCACGTCGAGGGCTGAGGAACGCAAGGGGCGCGAGGAGAGGCAGCTGCTGGAGCAGGAGGTCCAGTCCCTGACAAAGCAGCTGCAGCTCCTGGAGACCCAGATGGCCCACGCGAACCAGCACATGAGCGACCTGGAGCAGGAGAGGAGGGAGCTCATCCGAGACAAAGACCACCTCTTCCAGAAGGTGGTGACACTGGAGCGGCTGGCTATGCAGCTGAGCCCAGAGCTGCCTGTCGCAGGTGATGGAGGTGCGACTCGGGCTTCCCAGCCACAGACCTGTGAGAAGTTGAAGGAGCACAAGGACCCACAGAAGGGCCAGCCCGGTGATGCCCAGGGAGACCAGGAGGGGCAGCTCCAGCAGGCCAACAAGGCGCTCGAGAAGGAGCTCCAGAGAGTCGTTGAGCGCAACCAGCTCCTGGAGGGCAAGCTGCAGGCCCTGCAGGCCGACTATGAGGCACTGCAGCAGCGGGAGGCGGCCATCCAGGGCTCTCTGACCTCCCTGGAGTCCGAGCAGGCCAGCATCCGGCTCATGGGTGACCAGATGGAGGCGAGCCTCCTGGCCATGAAGAAGGCCAAGGAAGTCATGAAGGCCAAAGTGGCTGAGAAGGATGCCGCCCTGCAAAGCAAGGAGGATGAGTGCCAGCAGCTGCGCCAAGAGGCCGAGCAGTGCCGGCAGCTGGCAGAGGCCCGGGACCGGGAGCTCCAGGATCTTAAGAGCCAGTGCCACCAGCAGACCCAGCCAGTCCAGGACCTGACCGCAGAGAAAGACCAACAGGGGCTTAGCCCACGCCAAGAAGATGCGCCCCACGAGCTGGCATCTCAGCTGGCTCTGTCTCAGATGCAGCTGGAGGTTCATCAGGGCGAGGCCCAGCGGATGAAGGCTGAGGTGGTGGACCTCCAAGCCAAGCTCAGGATAGCCCTGGATGAGCAAGCAAAGGCGCAGAGCCAGCTGAGCGTGGCCGAGGTGCTCCTGGGGGAGCACAAGGCTCTCGTGCAGCAGCTGAAAGAACAGAACGAAGCCCTCAATCGGGCTCACGTCCAGGAGCTGCTGCAGTGCTCAGAGCGCGAGGGAGTGCTGCAAGAGCAGAGGGCCAGCGAGGCCCAGCAGAAGGGAGAGGTGCTCCGGGCCCTGCAGGAGGAGCTGACCCAGGCCAAACAGGGCTCCGAGGATGCCCGGCGGGAGCATGCTGAGCTGCAGGAACAGCTGCACCGGGCCCACACAGACACCGCCGAGCTCGGCATCCAGGTCTGCGCCCTGACCGCGGAGAAGCAGCAGGTGGAGGAGGCCCTGGCCCTTGCCACCCAGGAGCTCCAGGACACCAGAGAGAGGATCTTTCGGGAGCGAGAGGACCTGGAGCGCCAGGTGGCCGGGCTGCAGCACGAGAAGAAGAGCCTGCAGGAGAAGCTGAAGGCAGCCGAAGAGGCAGCCAGCTCACTGAGTGGCCTGCAGGCGCAGCTGGCTCAGGCCAAGCAGCAGGCCCAGGGCCTCGAGGAGGTGGCCCACCAGGAGCTCGACACCCTCAAGTTCCAGCTGAGCGCTGAGATCATGGACTATCAGAACAAGCTCAAGGTAACCCAGCCCCAGCCATTGAGCTCCACCTGCCTCCCTGGGGCAGGGCCTTGGGGGGTTGAGGAGGTTGTGAGAGGTTGTACCTTTGGCAGTGAGACAGGCGAGGGCCCACGGATGTCCTGGGTGGACCCACCATTTACCCTGTCCTACTGTCATAGGTCAAAGTAGCATCTCTCCTTGCAGGGGAGTTCGGAATAGAACGTTGGAGAATGGTGTCTTAGCCCAGAAAGAAACTCTTTGCAAACAAGTTTGAGCCACACAGAGGTTTTGTTTGTTTGTTTTTTAGTCGCCAATATTTAAAAAGTGGATGTTTTACCATTAAATGCCATGTGGGGTCTTTTGAGGCCTCTGATTTTAAAACCCTGGTAGAGCCAAGCGAAGTGGGGAAGAGAGCTTGGTGTTTGTTCCCATTTGGAGATGGGGCTGAGGGAGCCTCAGAGCATAGCCTGCACTCCCATGGACCCCTTTTTTCCCCTCCCCAGGCTGCTGGAGAAGAGTGTAAAAGCCTCAGCAGCCAGCTGGCGGAGCAAGGCCAGAAGCTGCAGGCTGCCGAGGAGGCCGTGGAGAAGATGACGGTAGGCGTGTGGTCTGTGCGTCCGGATGGGCACGGGGAGGCCTGGCACGCTGGCCGCCGGCTGGGGGTGGTTCCCACTCGCACTGTGTGGTCATGTTACACCTACCTTGGTTTTCATTGTCCCATGTATGAGAGTTCCCTGTAGGCCTCACAGTTCCCAAGCCGGAGCTATAATCACACTGGATGATGACCCCTTCCACTCCTTGGACACCTGTCTGGGGCCGCCAGCCGGGTTTTTCACCTAGCCTTTGTTTCTTATGAAAAGAACTGTCCATCTGGACCATCTTTTTAGGTGTTCTCTTTGTGGCTCTGACCTGAGCAGAGGTAGCACAGTCTTCAGAACAGTCCCAATGAGCACTGGCCCTGCCGCCCCTACACGCGTCCCCAGTCCCCTTTGACCCAGAGCATCTCATACATGCTGTCCCCTCCCCCCACTGCAACAGAGTGAGCCACAGCCCAACAGGTGTGTAGCAGAGCTTCTGGGCCTCTTGAACATAAAGTAATCCAAACAAGACCCTACGTTTTAGTGACCCAGCAGATGGGGCTGATGGCATGCCAGTCCCTCTGGGACATCCTGTAAGAGTTTCTGCAGGCTGAATGTCTTCTCCCTGATGCTTTGTGTCAGGCCGCCCAGAAAGATACGGGAGAGAAGCTGAGACGCACCAGCGACCATCTTTCAATGTGCCAGAAAGTCATTCTGAAGAAGGAGAAGGAAGAGATTGCCCTGCGGGCAAGCCTGAAAAGGTTAGTTTCACCGTCCCCTTATCTGGCCACTGAGGGCTGCTAGCGAAGGGGGCGTTAGTGCACGGTCATTTAGAGTCGGTCATAGTGAAGGAAAGAAGTCCACTTGCAAGGAAAACCACAGCGCAGGAAGCTCGAGGCAGGAGCGTGCCTGCTGGAGCCTGCCAACCAGCCCGTTGCCGCCCTCCAGGCAGTAAGAACCTGCTTTCTTCATTCTGTTTGCTTATCTCAGGCAGGGCGTAGGACAGCCCAGGAACAAGCATCAGCACTTCAGCAAAATCACAAGGACATAAAAGAAAATAATAATAATAGCCAAACATACCAAACCCACTGGTATCCAGTCGATTCTGACTCATAAGACGAAAAGAAAGCCGCTCCGTAGGATTTCCAAGGCCACATACAGATCTTAACAGAAGCACACAGCCGCCTGTTTCTCCTGTGGGGTGGCTGGTGAGTTCAGACTATTGACAGCTGACCCAAAGGCAGAGCCTCTCTGGTCATTTGAATCCACCTACGACCATGCAGGGAGAAGATGGACCTTCTTCTTCCGGGCAGTTGACAGCCTCCAAAACCTTGCTGTACACAGTTTATAAAACCTGCTGCAAGCTTAGCTCTGAACTGATTCTGACTCTACGGCAATGAGAGTTTTGTTTGTTGGTTTGTTGGATTTTTTTTTTTTAAGTTTTAACATGCTCTAGGCACTATTTTAAATACGTTGTGTATGTATGTTTATCCATTTAATCCTTCAAACAGTTTTGGGAAGGTGGTGTAGATCCCTGTTTTGTAGGTGACTGAAGTGAGACCCGGGAGTTAAGGGCTTTCCCAGGTCACATCATGGCATGTAAGCGACCACGCAGGGGGATGGGATCGCAGGCCGTGTGGTTCCAGAGTTTTCAGAACAGACTCAGCTGGTCCATTCCTAGCAAGCTGAGGCCCACTGATTGCCCAGAGTTTTCCTTGCAGCTGATGAGCTAAGAGAATCGGGGTGGGGATGGTGCATGGCAGTGGGGATGGTGCATGGCAGGGGGTCTTACACAGGAGGTAAGTGAATAACTATGAGCATTTAGTGCTAAAGGGGTTCCCCCTACTGGGAAAGGCAGCAGGCACCCCCTTTGCACTGGGGAGTCAGCACAGAGACCTGGGAGAAGCTGGGAGTGATGAAACTCAAGAGAATGTACCCCCGTTTCACCAGGACTCAGGAGGATCTTGCCAAAGCCTCAGCCGAGTTCCAGGAGCGTTACAACAGACTCTGTGAGGAGGCCACGAGCCGGGAGAAGAATGACCAGAAGATGCTCGCCGACCTGGACGACCTGAACAACACCAAGAAGTACCTGGAGGAGCGGCTGATCGAGCTGCTCAGGTGAGTGGCCGGAGGCCTTGCCACGGCTGTCCTCCTTGACCCAGCACAGCTGTTCCCGAAAGGCTCCTGTCGAGGAGGTGCTTCCCTGGCTCCTCCAGCCTTTGTGGGCACAGTCGCCTTGTCACTGAGGGCCTCATCCCGGGTTTGCGCAGGCCACGTACAGCTGTGTCCGGTGGTTCCCTTTTCACATCGTGTGCCCCTCAAGGTTGGGGGTTTCACTTGGTGCACACTTATTTAAGTCTCCTTGTGCGTGGCCGCAATAGCGATGAGGAATGAGGTTTCAAATCTTGAGAGAAATGTCTCATTCCTTAGTCCACTTCTCCAGGAGTCCCATTCCTCCCCCCACGTCCTCCTTTTCCTAGTGCTGGGTGTCCCAGCCTCCAGTTGATATGTTTGGGCTGCCTGGCGCTGTTGCAGGAGGCCGTGAACTGCTAACTGAAGAGCACAGCTGCAGCCTGGCCCAGCCCACTGCGGTCACCTAGGCACCAGGCCAGAGGGACAGATTGCTTTTGCAAGAGACGGAGGAACTGTAAATTTTTTTAAAAAATGAAATATTCCAGTTATAAATCTTGGAAAGTTATTAAACTTTTCCCCCCATGGAAAGTTAAAAATCTACAAAAATAGAATAGCTTCATGAACACCCTTGTACCCATCACCCAAGTTCATCATCATCCAAGTTTTGGCCAGTCTTGAACCAGCTGTACTTTCCCCACATTTCCATCACCTCCCACAATTATTGTGAAGCTAATTCTAGATATGATAACATCTCACCCACAGATCTTTCACTCTGAGCCTCTTTATGGCAAATGACTCTTCATATTAAACACCACAGTATCACTAGGACTTTAAGTGAAGGAGAATTCCTTAATACCAAGTATTTAGCCAGTTTCTAATTTATGCAATTGCCCTAAACTTCCCCCTATAGTTTGTTCTAACAATCAAAATCTAAATTAGATCCATGTACTGCAATTAACAGTATCTCTTAAGAATTTTTTTTTTTATCTATGGATTAACCCCCATGTCTCTTCTTCTGGTTTTTTTTACCATTTGTTCTTTAAGAATCCAGACCATTCATTGGGTGGAGCCTGTCAGGGCCTAAATTTTGCAGGTTGCTTCCCGGCAGTGTCTTTTATTTGCTCTGCGTTGATAGTCAGAAGTAGGATTCTCAACTCTGGCTACTCATGAGAATATCTTGAAGAGGTTTCTTTTGGTTTCTGTTTGAAATACCAACTAGATCAGAACGTCTGGGCGTGGAGTCCAGGCATCATGAGGGAGAGGGGAGAACCCCAATGTTTTCAGAGTTGGGTTCCACATTTTGGCAAGAGTGCTTTAGGGACTGATCGTGTTGCCTCTCTCCTTTGGGAGCCTCATGATATCTAGCTAGCCCCCTCTTTCTGATGTTTGGCTGCTGTGTGGAAGCCGTGTGTGTAGATCTACTAGCACTTTGTTGTTGCCATCAAGTGGATTCCCAACAGATAGCCATGCTGTGTAACAGAGTAAATCACTCACAGCGCTTCCTGGACTGTAATCTTCACAGGAGCAGATTACCAGGTCTTTACTTCTGGCACTTCTGGGTGGATTCAAACCTTTGACCTTCTGGTCATCTGCTGAGTGTTTAATCATTGTGCCACGTGAGTTCTGTACTCATCCTTGTTATTGTTATGTAGCATTGAGTCAGAACCAACTCATAGCTGACTCTCCAGCAAGTTTTCAAAGGCTGTAAATTGCCAGTGAGGAGATTGCCCAACTTTCTCCCATGTTGCCACTGGGTAGCTGGTGAATTCGAACTACCTGCCTTTGTGTTGGCAATGTCACTCCTTGTCACTTGGCCACCAGAGCTCCCTACTAATTCAGTGTTTGTTGTTGTTTATCGTTGAGCTGGAACGACACATAGCTGACCCTCTGGTGGGTTTTCAGAGGCTGTAAATTGCACAGAAGGAGAGATCGCCCATCTTTCTCTTGTGGAGCAACTGGTGGACTCAAACCTTATGCCTTCAGATTGGCAACCTAGTTCCTTATCACTAGGCCACCAGATCTCCCTAATGATAACTCACTGGGAGTTAAAAAGGGGCAATGTAAAAATCATAGTTAAGGTGAGCTCTGGTGGCCTTCTGGCAAGAAGCTGCACTGCAGTCCCAGAGGTGTGCAGTTCAAATCCATCAGAAGCTCTGCTGGAGAAGGAGGGACAATCTCCTCCTGTACCAGTCAGATCTGATTTGATGGTACACACAAAATAAAAAAATTATTAACTGGAAGTTTAAAAAGTCTACTTGGATTAATGGTTATATAATAAAAGGATCAGAATAAAAAGACAAAATGAAGTTGAACAAAAAAAATCACCCAACCCCAAAAACTCTACTTGCAAACCCGAAACTTGAGGCACTTGTGGCCTGAGATCTGACCACCGTGTGTGATATATGTGGAAACCCTGTGCGCATTCCCACCCTCCCAGGTGTGTGCCTGTCCTCCTGGGACAGAAGGAACTGGAGGCGCAGACCAGCGGCAGAATGAAGCTGGTTCAGAGAATAAGACTTCCTGCCTTCTGACAACTTGATTGCATAAAACAATCACTCCATGTCCTGCCTATTTTATTTAAGAGAAAGGCCTGATTATATTGATATAGATTTATGGTTGATTTAGAGTCCCAGTCACAGAACCAATTTCCCTGAGGACCTAGTAGCTCTGTGCTCCGTCATCAGTGTCTGGCGTCTCTCCAGGGCCCTTTCAACACTCGGAGCAGGCTGGCTAGAGGTCATGTGGCAAAGAGCAGAATCCTTCCCCATCAGAAAACACAAGCCCCCCCAATCCCCATTAGAAGTTAGCAAGTCTCTGTACACAGCATCCCTGGTGCAACAGGCATGCTTGGACCTCGTTCAGCCTGGCTTCCCAGAGTAGCCACACAAACTCAGGTTGACATCTAGTCAGAAATTATTGTTGTTGTTTTTTGACTGTAAAAAGTGAAGACAGATTTATTAGAAAGTTACATCCCATCCTCATTGAAAGGAAACGTGGAGGACAGGCCCAGTCAGGCATTTAGGCTTAGAAATCTTTGATCTTCTTCAATGGCAGGTTATTAAGTGAACAAACCTTAAAAATAGAGCAGACCCTGAGCTCAAGAAAGATTGAAACAGGGGTACATTGTGATCCCTGCGCTTATAGCATACAGACTTTGTGCTGGCACTTCACAGCTTAAACTTGTTAGTAAAGGGCATTATCCTGGTGACCTTGGAGCTAACAAGGCCTGAGCTCTGGAGACACCTAACAGAGCACGTTCCACTTTAGAGCCTGCAGCCCGAAAGGACTATGCTAACTCTTGGGGTGTCGTGCAGGCACGTGGCGGTGGGAACTGTTGCCAAGGTGAAGGTGAAGTTCTCCTTCAGTGGGTTGGGAAATTTTGCAGGTCATCTTTTGAAGCCAACCAGGCACAGTTCTGGTTTTCACAAGTTCTTTTTCCCTTCCAATGTGGTTTTACCCCAGGGACAAGGATGCTCTCTGGCAGAAGTCAGATGCCCTGGAATTCCAGCAGAAGCTCAGTGCCGAGGAGAAGTGTGTCGGGGACGCAGAGACCAGCCACTGCCTGGACTGCAAGCGGGAGTTTGGCTGGATGGTGCGGCGACACCACTGCAGGTGAGTGGGCAGCCCGGGACCCCTGACGCCACGCAGGCTCTGCAGGAGGACGCAGGCTAGGTCTCTGTGCCCTGGTCACCTGCCCAGGGAAAGCACAAAAGCACGTTGCTTTTTGGTTTTTAAGGGAACAGACCAACAAGCCATACTGGTCAGGGTCCTAGCAGGACACAAGGGGCCCCGAAATGATGTGTTGGAGAGAGTTTAATAAAGAGCTGGCAGGGGTTGGGAGTGCTGTGGGGAACCCACAGAGATTGGGTGAAACCAGTAACCCTTTGGCCACCTCCCAGCCTGAAGGGATTCGAGGGGAAAGGGCATTATGGAACTCAGCCAGAGGAGGGGCGAGACTTCCTTAGAGATGCCCAGGCGGAGCTCAGGCTCTTCCCTGGCCCAGCTGGGAAAGGTCAGAGTGAACCTTGGGTTGGGGCTGTGGGTGCATGGAGGTCTGTGAGGGCTCTGGTTCTCTATGAAACCATTAGCCCCTGCAGTGAGGAGGACTCACCTGTGTCACAGTCTGAGGGGAGTTGGGCTCAGTCACACATTTCCCCTTCCTGCCTCCTAAAACTCCAGGAAGTAAATTTCCCTTTCTCCTAATCTTTACCAAGATGGCTGCTTTGTTAGAATTTTATAAAAAACTATATAAAATGCTCCTTAAAGCCAGGTCAACAACAACAGCAGCATAGAGAGAGATCAGTACTTATTTTTGGTGAAACATTCTTCTAGGTCGTATAGCCCTGGTCTGTCCACTTGCTGTACAGCGGTAACTCATGGTTGCTGTGAAGCCGAACACTGTGACACTGGCATGTCAAATGCAAGAATGGTCACCCATGGTGGACAGTGTTTGGTGGAGCTCCTGATTAAAACAAGCTTGGAAGCAGGAGTGATATCCACTTCCACAATAGCTTGCCTCTGGAAACCCTATGAACCCGGAGAAAGGACGAAAGTTATACAGGTGTCCAGGTCTTTCGTTCATAGGGTCAGTACGAACATAGGCCCTTAACATCAACAACAAAGCCAGGTGTTTTGGGAGCCCCCCGAAGCCCAGCAGAGAGCTCTGTGTGGTAACAGCACATGGGCCCCGCAGCCCGTCCCTCACCCTCATGGCCCACCTTTGTTTCCTTCCCAGGATGTGCGGCCGTGTCTTCTGTTACTACTGCTGCAACAACTACATCCTGACCAAGCCCAGCGGCAAGAAGGAGCGCTGCTGCCGGGCCTGCTTCACGAGGCTCAGCGGGAGCCCGGGCTCTCCAGACAGCACTGGCTCAGGCAACAGCCAGGGGGAGTCCAGCCCTACACAGCCTGGGCCCCAGGCCACCAGAGACCAAGGTCAGGCCCCTGCTGCGGTGCACCATGTTTTTTTCTGAGTGCTTGTTAGCAAGACTCAATGTTTTCCAAACACAGACACCAAAGAGCTGCTAAAAATACATTAACACGAGCTTGAGGCTTTCTTTTTGATGCAAGTAGTATTGAAAGCGAATTGAAAAAGGAATTACTTCTTCATAGTATGACTCAGTGTTCTTTCGCATGAGGTCTGTAGCACTCCTAAACCCCCAGCAGATCGTACTTTAGAAGAGGTTGGCTGCCCACCTGTACTTAGAGAACCAGAGGCAGAGCTGAGATGGCAAGAAAAATGGGTCCCATCTCTGCCTCCAGAAGCTGGTCCCTGAAAACTCTTCCAGGCCAGCTAGCTTCTTAGAAATACTGTTAGTTCTTATTTTACCTCATAAAAAAGTTGGGAGAACCCATTATTTTACCAGACTCAAAGAACTGCTTGAGGAGAGGGTGTAGTTTGCACAGCATTTTGTGTTTGTTCACCATTCCTGTGTCCACAAACCTTTGTGTTTGTTCACCATTCCTGTG